TGGATGTTGTCAACACTAAGCAGCAGTTGACTAGTTCTTGGCTGAAGGAGGTGGACAAAAGAGAGGATGGTGTCAAGTACTGTACTATTCTTTGCATCTTTCCGACAATTTTCGGTACTGACTGATACTGTTTTCTTCTCAGATTTAAGGCATCGCGTAACACAGTTTGCTGAAATATTCGGGGGTTGCAGAAACAAGACTAACAAAGCCGAACAATCTATTGGTAAACCTATTCTACACGAATCACTATCATATTTTGGCCTTAGTATCGAGCTCTAGAAGTATTTCCTGCATGAATTCAGTCACAACTCAGATGAATTATAGCCAGCTACAAATTCTACTCGAATTCTTAAACCTACTGATCACAGAGCAAAAAAAATTCACGTTGATGAAGAGTTCAGTGCCAATGCTGGTGAGCCATCGATGAATCATATGCACGATTGAGCTGATGACTGGGAGAGCATTCATATCATAAAAGAGATTCCAAAGGCTATCAGAATCTTTAATTATAGCAAATATACAAACTTTTAAATGGATATGTACTTCAACATAAAGCCTGCACCCATTCAATAATTCACATCACAATCCTAATATGTCATAAATATTTTGTGTAAAATGGAAGACATGCTTCAGCTACCGCTAGATGTCGTGAAAGCGCCCGTTCTCTCTGGAGCCGGCTCCATACTTGCAATCATTGTTGGTGTTGCCGCGGTTGTTGGCGTTTCTTCTCTTCACAAACATGCAGCCTCTTGCAGTGACGCACAGAAGTTAAAGAAGGCAGATTTACGTGTCGGTTTGTTGCGCATTCATGTGCCTCAGAACTTTCGAGATCTGGTGAAAAATGATGTTCTTTTGGAAAAGGCAATTGAACTTGTTTCACAGACACTTTTTATCTTTGTGTCGGGACGAAATAAACATGAGGTGGTCAATTATATTAGCGAGCTATATGGAATGTCGTGGGACGTCGCGTGTGCGATGGAGAAACCTTTTTTGAATATGCGGTACGATGATGCTACGCGAATTGGAAATATTGTTTGAACTAAAGAAATGCGTTTTTATTGCAGGATTGTAGGTGATGGAGGTAGTAAAACGTGGGAAGAGTTGGTACTGCAGCCGGAACTGAACGCTGTCTTCGGTGAGGACGCGAAGGTTGACGTTCACTGCCTCAATGCTCCGCGCTTTGAGCGCGACGGATTGTTTGCTGTCACGTATTATCCGTTGGCAATGCATGTGGAGAGAAGACTTGCAGCCGACGTCAGCTACTTTGAGAATGAACACACGGATCTGACGCCGCACAATCTGGTCATACTTGGTGGCACGTTTGATCACCTACACAATGGCCACAAAAAGCTGCTTTCGCTAGCTGTAAGCATTTGCGCGAATCGAATGTTAGTGGGTGTTACAGCTCAGAGTATGCTGACAAATAAGTCGCATGCAGAGTTGCTAGAGCCATTGGAAAAGAGAAAGAGTGCCGTGCGTGATTACATTGCATTTTTAAATCCGCGAGTCATCGTGGATATCGTTAAGATTGAAGATCCGTTTGGTCCGGCCGTCGTGATTCCGGAGCCAGCGGCCATGGTTGTATCTTCTGAGACTCTAGCGGGTGCTGCAAAGATTAACAGTATTCGCGTGGATCGTGGTCTGCCAAAGCTTTACATTTTTGCGTGTCGTAGAACCGAAAGCAGCACTCTGAGCTCGACTTGCATCCGTGAGAAATTGCGGTCTTGCAATAGCGGGATTTGACTATCGCTCGAAGATCCAATAGCGTAAGTTCCAAATATTTATCTTCAGGACACTACGACAGAATATCACGATTGGTACCGGAAAAATGCAATTTGATTGATTGTAGATCAAAACCTTCATATAAGAATTGCAGCTACGTATTACATGTAAAACACAGCGCTTGCCTACGCGATTGCAGTTTCTGTTTCCTTCCATGCACAAAAGGTCCGTCCTGCTTCTCTTTCAAAGTCATCGCTACGATATGATGATTACGGAGCGACCAATGCCGCGCTTCCTATCATATATGCGTCGACTGTCCCAAGCTGCTTCCACCACTGGAGACATCGGATGGCGACTGTATTAACCCCAAACTTCTTTTAAGTGCAGTGACGTCCACCTCCAACGGTACCACGAATCCATTAATTCGAAACGGAATCGTGTGGAACACTGAATCGTCGACGCTTCCATCCAGTTGCAACTGTTCCGCAGCTGATGTAGTAACAGCCGTCTGTTTACCTCGTGCAACCTTCCTGGGTCGGTCGCTTGTCGATATAAGCTCATCACGCGCCCCATTCTTTAAACATGCTAGATTCTTTATCTTTGCTGCATTCCCACCGGGTGTAAGTGAACCGTCGATTGACATGTCTGCATAGCTCTGAATTAGTGGAAAGCCGGCTGCTCCGGCCTGATTAAAAGGTACAAATGACGAATTGGGCGACGCGGCGGCGCCTGTTGAATTATTCGTCCCGATCGATTCGTCCGTAAATTGTTGCTGTTGCTGCTGAAACATTTTCATTGACAGTCGCTTCTTGGCACTTTTCGTGGTCGTGTCCACAAAATAGCTAAAGATCTCGTACTTTAGCTCTACTTTCATGCTCCGCGCGACTTTCCAGCGGACACGCAGCAACGGATCAAAATTCTCTTTAGTCAGCTGTACGTACTTGGACTGTGTGGCGTTGCTACTTGGCTTTAAGTAGATAGCACGACGCTCTTGCACGTAGTTTGGGCCGAGTTTGCTGTAATGACGCTCTACCTTGCTTTGAAAGACGCCAAAGCCTTCATCTGGAATAAATGTAATCGGAATCTCATCATGCAGCTTCTTGCGCACTGCCATTAGTGGCTCGCCGCACTTCATGGTAAGTACAGCCACGCACTCTTCATGCTGCGGAAATTCGCCAGCACAACCATCATCAGCGTTATCTGGTGCAAGCTTGAGATCCGAGGCACTGGCGTCATCCGATGCCGGTGGTTCGCTGCCATCCAAGCTGGATGCGTGCATGGCTAATGGAGGGTAAGGACTTGCTGAGGGGAGGGGCTTAGCAGTACAAATTGTATCAGCCTATATTTTAGTCCTACTGAATAGAATTATCAGACTGAAATCAATAAAATGTGTAAACCTGCAAATCCTGTTATGATGTACATTACACAGTCCGCTCAGAGTGGTCTCCGTGAAATCATATTTTGAATCCGCTTCTTCACCTTAGTTTTATTTTCCAATCCAGTGATCGTAAATTCCCCTTTTTCCAGCTGATAATCTTCGTTGGGAAGGCTACGAGTTCTGCTTTTCCGTTTCCACAAATTCGTTTTGCTCCTTGTTTAATATGCTGTCAGTTTTATTGTCGGTGCTACGCGGTGTCGGCGCTGCGCCAATAGTTCTAGCCACACTTTTAATGGTTGTCCATTCCGGTAAGAAGTCTAGGTTACCATCTACCTCATTCACTTCTTTCGGGGTAGATGGGTCTTCCTAGTCCTGCGTTTTTTCTTGAGGTGCAATCTGTATCCAGCTAAAATGCGGAGCTTGGTATGAGATGATTATAGGTCCTTGGTTGCTCGCTGATGTTTGTTTAAGTTCCGCTCGAATACTTCAATCCAACCTGCTGCTGCTCCAGTGTTAAGTTTTTCTCTTTGACGTTATTATTGTTTTTCCGTCTGCTGTTCTTTCTGCCGAGTAAAAATAAAAACTTTTGAGCCCCCCACGCGCCATCACCACGTAAATGTTTCGATTCGATCTTTTAGCTATCATTCTTCGAATCATCTCCGATCCTCAGCATCTAGAGGATGTTAAAAAAAGCGCTTTGACGGATTGATCTGGCGCGAGCTGTGGCTACCGTAGCTCTTCGCTAAGAGGAAGCTAAGCTAAGGTCACCGACCTGACGTTCTATACTGAAACCGGTGTGAGTGTAGCGGGTCGCGATCCGCTACCGCCAAGAGTACCCAACATTTTAATACAAGGCGAATATACTCTTCGGTTTCAAGTCCAACTATATTTATCTGTTTTATTTGCGGCAAAGCCGCCTAATTCTAAATCATTATATTATCCAAAATAAATAGTAAAACCTGTTTAATATGCATAACTACTGGTAGTCCCACAACGTAGTGGCTTCTTGTTACGGTGTAGCCACACCATTGTGTGATTACACCGTCTTGTGCAATCCAAACCTTTGTACGGTCGCATAATCTTTTGTGACCTACCCTTTCATACCAGAGTACGTGTAACCCCGTTACACTCTCCCCCATCAAAATATGAATACCCACAATTCATATTTAACTGTCGCCTCGTACGAGGCTCGCATGTCTACGACACCTTTACGTCCCCGGAACGCTCTTCACGCATTCTCTGTTCAATGAGCCCTGGGTCTATGACAAGAAAAACACCCAGCCTCACGGGCTCCGAGAGCGCCCGCTTCTTCATCTCCTGCACACGGTGCAACTCCGGAGAGTACGTCCGCGGCTTCACGGGGAGCACACCCCAAGCCGTCAGCAACCGGGCCCCGCACACTGCATCCGCCACGTGCGACGGATATCCTCGCCGCAGATTTGAAGGAATTCGACTACGAGTCGGATACTTCTTTCCTATGATCGAAAGAAGAGATGCGCCAACGGCGCAACGTGATCCCTGCTCGAACCTTGCGGACATCGTGTCTGTTCCTCAACCTCTCGACTTCCGGGAAAAGTGGTATCATTACCAATCGCCTCGATGAGGCACATGAGCAGCAGTTGGAGGCTGCCCACAGAGCGGCTCTCGTGCGCTCGTATCCACATTCGGTCGTTGCCCCTCGGTGGAATACGGTTTACGCTCGGCGGGTTCGGCTGCTGAAGCGAAAGATGCG